TTCCTCCATTTCCTCCATCCAGGTCACCTCCCAAGTCATGACTTCAATTCTCTTTCTTATGTCTGCTCCAAGATTCTGTCATCAACAAGCCTTTCGCTGCCTATGTCCTTGGCTCCTTTCTGGTCTGTAACCTCTTAATCTATCAATACAGTAAATCCTTTAATCTTTGAAAACCTTCCCTGACGTCACCCCCCTCTAGCTGCTATCTTGTCTCCACTTTCCTCATTCAAACTTGTCCAAGTAGCACATATATTAACCAAGTTTAGTAACAGTCACACTAGAAGGTAGGACATCCCCTTCATACATCAGGGACTGAAGAGAGGTCCAGATTCAACACTCGGAGGGCCAAGCAGCAAGCATGAACTTTAGACCAACAGCTGTGGAGCCTGCATGGGACCAGACTAGGGCCTCTGAATTCGGGAGACTGTTGTGTAGCTTGGTCTGTTTAAGGGGCCCCTGGCAGTAGGATCAGGATCTTTCCCTGGAGCATGAGCTGACTTTTTGGAGCCCACTACCTATGGTGGGACACCTTGCACAGCCTTGATGCAGGGGGAGGGGCTTGATCCTGCCTCAACTGAATATATCAGGCTTTGCTGACTCCCCATGGGAGGCCTTACCCTTTTTTAGGAAGGGATGGAGGGGTGTTAGGGGGGAAAGCCCTGGGGGGGGGGGGAATCTGTGGTTGGTATGTAAAATGAATACAAAATTTTCTTAAAGAAAAAAAATCTACCACATTTCTCTGCAGGATTTAGCTTTCAAGTCACAATGTTTACATCTCTTAAAGAAAGCTCAAAATAGAGAAAAGTAATGTGTCGGTTTTGAAATAAAGAGGTTAGCATGTGTATTCTAAGGACCTTCATTGTGTGAAGCACATTTTACTGCTCAGCTAAAGAGGGAAGTAATCAGCCCCTGCTGCCATGTATGAGTATGCACTTCAGATTTAAATTACTCATAAACATTCTTTTTTTTTTTTTGAATTCCTAGATTTCTGATAGGCATGACTCTCTGTTTCTTTAACTTCCTTTCATGCTTAGAATTGCTGGGATCATTCTGGAAAGCATTCCCAGTGATTCAGTTCATAAAGCCAGAGAGCTCCCGCCCTCCTCAAGCAGAGCTCTCGCCTGCCTGCCTGATGGACCTCTCAGCTCTCTGACACCTCAGGCTGAGATAAGGAGGATCAGTTTGAAAATTGTAAGTGTATGAAGCTCTCCCATAATAATGTTCCTCAAATGCTGTAAAACAACCACTATAAACGTTTATTTGAAGTTCTAAGAATAAATGAACTGCTTTGGTGAGAAAGATGTGCCGAGAATAGGCTTCCCTTCAGTAAATGGAGAAGCAGAGACAAACTCAGGAAGAGTATTAAAGAAAATGGCTAGACATTCCAAAAGGGCAGAGCAGAGGGAGCTGAAGTCCTTTGTACATAGTAGACTGTTTCATAAGCCATGTTTGAGATACATCACCCTCTGCCAGCTGCCTAGGGTTAGAAACTGATTTCTCAGTGTGTCAGTGAATGTGTGACATAGCCTGCAGAACACCGAAGCCAACAGAGTTCTGATATATCATCTAATTGACTTACCTAGTTTTCTCCTCCATGTCTCTGCAGATGCAGGGAGAAGAGAACAAAACATAACAACAAAGGGAGAAATGATGAGATGCAATTAGAGAGATTTCCCCCCTAAAATGTATTGAAATAGATAAGCCAAGGGAACTGACAATATAAAATGATGTTTTGAGTCAAGAAAATGAATTTATTCATGTTTTGTTTTTGACTTACTTTATAAGAAATGTACTTTTGCCAAGTCTTTTGTGCTGTGGTTTTTATGATGAGATTACTACTTCCTTTGAAGTTTTATTGATTTTAGTACAGCCAAGTTGACAGGATTCTTAAAAGTGTTATTTTAGAATAAATAAAGGGAAAATGAATCATGGTGCCCAAACAATGGTTGGGGTGTACAGTTTCATTACTTTCAGTTCAGTCTGGGAAATATGTAACTAGTTTTTCAGAGAGTAAAAACGTTCCAATTTATTAGAAAGCACGTGTTACTGGAAACAGTCAAGGACAGAACTGTAATAACAGAAACCAGCTTAGCAACCTTGATGCCAGCAACATTGGCCGGTCCTGGTGCTGAGATGGCGGGCTTGCATCTGCTGAATTGTGGCAAGGAAAAGTCTGGAAGATGTCTGTCTCTAACAGACTTCATCATTGTCTTGTACGCGTGACACTGTAAGCCCATTTTTCTGTGTACCACCCTACTTCCTTTGACCTGTAGATGTATCCCCCTAAGGCTTCCTGCTTCTATCACTTCAGTGAATGCCAGCCATTGAGCAGTGAAAACAAAACCCGCAGACTTGCGTAGTACCCAGCACGTGCCATCTCTACTGGCCCCACATTTAATATTTGCAACAGACCAAACTTTGGGCTCTGATCTCACTCTGTCCCTCCAATGAAAGAGAATTCTTCAATTTCTCTTGCTTAAAAAGTATCTTTCTATACAATGTCTTTGGATTGTGAGTTTACATATGAATTTACATGAAGGAAACTCTGGAAATCAAGGGTAAATATAAAGTTCCCGAAGTCCAGCCCCATGTGAACATTCCCAGAACGCAAGTGAAAAGATGGACAGGATGTTAGACTGTATGTAAGACAAGGAATTTAGATCTATAGCAGCTATAGAAAGGGTTGACCCTTCTTGGGCCAGGGGCATAATTGTTTGTGATATAAAGGAGATAGAGTGAGTAAGTCATCTACAGTTTGCATTACAGTCCCAGTATTAGAGAGGACCTTGGGATGTCATCTCTAGAGTCACATGCAGCCAGCCCATACAGAGATTGGTGGCCAATGGAGGTCTGAGAAACAGCACACCAACTACTCCATGAATGTTGAGCCATCCCTACAGTCCTGAACTGATAGTAACTTACTTCCCAATGCACAGTCCTGCCTCTTCTCCCAGCACCAGCCTTTCAGACAGAAACCTTTCCCTTCTCCTGGCCAGCAAGCTTAGCAAACAGCCAGCACATTTTCATCAGCCCACTCACATTTGCTAGTGTGAATGGCTTCCCACTGTTAGCCACAATACCCTCCTCCAATGTAATGGTGCTAATAGAGGACAAATGTCTACTACAAAAACATCTCTACATCTCCAAATCCAAGATCACTCTTCTCTTAAACAAATGTAACCTTGCAAAATGTACATTTACAAATGGGTACATATAGGTTCCTTTGTATGTGTGTGTCTGATAATCTGCTTTGCAATTTAAATCACTATGGAACTCTTTCCTGTTACCCTTCTCCCTGATGAATGATATTGTACACATTTTACTTTTTTATAACTGACCAGGAATCTGTGTAAGTAAATATCCTGTAGTCAAAGAGATCAGTGAAAACACCCATCTTTGGGACATCTGTCAACTTTCTTCAGGTTCCCAGGAGTATCTTTTGCATACCAATCTAGAATAACATGCAGTGCTGCTGTGTCCCTAAAAGCCACATGAGCAGCCTCAGAGTCTCTCATTATATAATAGCCTTCTATAGAACAAGTGCCTGCAGGGGCCCCAGATTCACAGTAGCCAACACAGCTGAAATAAGGCGAGAAGATGGTGTTGCTTTGGAAGGATCTGAAGGTGGCACACACACCCTCACCATACTCAGTCCTCAGCAGTCACTGGGGCACCACACTGCTTAAAAGGCTGGGGTCATCATTTAACTCTACCCAATAAATGTAATAGACAAAACTATGACCACATTTCTAGTGGTGACATTGTTTTTAGTAATGGTTGTGTTCTGGAAAGTTTTTCTTTTGCTGTGAAATTTAAATGATTTTGTTCGGTTGTATTTGCTTGTGGTGTTTAAACTTTAGTTCTATATGTTTTCTATTTCTCTTTACCCCAGAGGATTCCTTATGTGCACACACACACACACACACACACACACACACACACACACACACACCCCTAGATGGGAAGAGGAACATAGTAGCCACACTAGCTTAGAGTAGGCTGCAGATTCTCTCTCTGATACTGACAGAACCAGCAAGGCAACAAAGGTTTCCTTTCATGCAGTTGCTAGTATTCCCTTGGAGGCTCTTGCAACCTAATACAAAAACAAAGAAACAAACAAACTAAAAATAACAAAAGGGAAAACAATAACTTCATTCTTAAGTCATCCTGTCCTTGAAAAAAAAGTTACTCTTCCCCTACTGTCAGAAATAATTATCTTAAGCTCAGAAATTTAAAAAAAAAAAAACATCTTTTTTTGAACTGTTTCCTAAATCCCCCAAAACACAGACCTCTTGGGATGGTCCTGGCTCACGGAAAATAGAACAAGTTGGTGTGGGAAAGCAGAAAGATCACTGGACCAAGAGCTGGGAGACCTGAGATGAGATCTGGACAAACCAGCTTCTGGCTCCTAGCCTTAGCTTCATTTGTAAAATATGTATAATGATGTCTACATTTTACTGAGGTCAAATGAAGTGGCAGACTTGAAAAAGCGTTGGGAAGCTATTCGGATCTTCACAATGTTCTATTATGTTCACTGGGTCTCATCTCCTGAGACGAGGCTGAACACTGAGGCTGAGAATTACAGAGAAATGCAACAAGATAAAGCAAAAAGGCTGAAGGCTCTAGCTTTCTTGCCCACTCTCCCCACCTCCTCCTAGAACAAACACAAAAGTACTAAGGGCAACATGCCATTTTCCCATTCCTAACATTTCTACATCTGTCAATCAGAGCCCTGCCCAAATCGGATAGCCTCTCTCCAGAATCTGAATTAACGATTGCTGAATAATATCACGAAGAAACTTTATGCTTCTAGAGAAGCTGGAAGCTGGAATCAGCACCTGGTCACTTGTCCTTCTTTAAACAAAGAGTTTCTCAGTGAAAACCTGTTCCCACATTAGGATTTAGACAGAAACGAGGAAGATAAGCCCCCTTTCCCAAAGATGCTCGCAGTCCACTGAGGGACGGGTGGATAGATCCTTCAGGAACAAGCCTGACTCTACCTGCAGCTCTCCTTCCATTATACTCAGGAGCTGGATGAGATCCTCCTTGGATAACTCCAGAGACTTCTTGGTCTTTTTTTCACTTTCTCCAGATGGCTTGAGGTGCCGTTTGACAGTTCCTGAAGCCATGACATCATCTTCCTTCCGATTTGCCTTGTTCTTTTTTGCCTCTTCCGAGGGACCTGTACCAGCAGCATTGCTGATGATGGAGGACTTGGGGCAGGAGACATGCCTGTTAGATGAACTTTCTCCACCTTGGTTTCGCGATCTCATTCCCACCTGCAACACATGAAAAGAGGCATTCTTCACCACTACTAAAACTATTTTTGTCTAAATACTTAGACACTTACAGCAGCTTTACAACTTCACCAATAAAGAGAAAAAGAATAGCTCCTGTTAGCTCCCCAGTAGCCTCGGTGAACACAATATTAAAGTTTCTAGGAAAACACTTGGTTGGTCTTCAGGAAAAAGTAAAACCATCTCAAGCAAGATCAAGCGTAGCATCAACTGTTCTCAGTCACACTGATCACGTTGGGTACAGGAAGATGAGAATGGCAATGTGTCCTGAGATCTTCCTTCCCAAAGCAGTTTATTAATGAAATAAACATAGCTGTGAATTCTCAAAACTCATAGCCAGTAATCCATAAAATTATCAATGTTATCAAAATCAATGACAACTGTTGTAGCCCAGACAAATAAACGTGACTGCAGCATTAGGACGGGACCCTAGAACTCGAGACACAGCAAAAGGAAGGGAGGAGGTCTGAGGGAAGCATGGATGCCGGTCATCAGCAATGCACACATCCTGGCTCACTACTGCAGTCGCGATCCCACACTCACTAAGGTGTCAGTTAAAGGGAAAACAGCGTGGGTTATACAAGAACTCACCACAGCACCTTTGAAATAACACTGAGACTCTACATAAAACCCCTTAATGGAATATTCACATTTGAAGCATCGCCAGGGGTGAGTTGAATATCACAATGGCGGGAAAATCCTAGAAGGGACAGCACACACTGATGGGGAATTTTGGTTTTCCATGGCCTCTTTTTTCAAGGTGGGTTTTCTCTATCAGTCACTAACAGTGGTAAGAGTATCAAAAAATTGGGAGAAAATAATCAATTTCAAAATAAAAATTTGAAACAATATTTTCTGGAGAAAAAGGAGAAAGCCACAGCTAAGGTATGAACACACCGCATGAGGAGAACATTCTAGTTATTATATGATGAATGTTTTAGGGCTGTCCCTCTAGCACAAGAGAACAGGACCAACAAAGAAGCTGCAAGCCAACACACTGAGCTCAGAGGCTGGAACTTCAGTCCGTGGAAGAGAGCTCTATTACCCTGGGACTGTGCCTCAAAACTTGCTTAAGGTCTCCCAAACAGTTCAAGCTAATCGACTGTCTCACTTATCCAGAGGGCCTGGTCCAGTTCCATGGGGGCTCCTCAGCTGTTGGTTCATAGTTCATGTGTTTCCACTAGTTTGGCTATTTGTCCCTGTGCTTTTTCCAATCATGGTCTCAACATCTTTCGCTCATACAATCCCTCCTCTCTCTCGCCAACTGGACTCCCAGAGCTCCACCTGGGGCCTGGTTGTGGATCTGTGGAGGGTTGGGGGCGGGGGATGGGTGGGAGGAGGGAGGACAGGGGAATCCGTGACTGAAATGTAAAATTAAATTAATTATAAAATTTTAAAAAAATTGCTTAAGGCACAAAATCCTGGGTGAAGCAGGTGGTCTGTGGTAGTTAGAATGATAGTGGTCCCCACAGGCTCGTATATTTGAATGTTTGCTCCCCAGTTGGTGGAACTGCTTGGAAAGAATTAACAGGTGTGGAGGAGGGGTGTCACTGGGGGGTGGGCTTGAGGTTTCAAAAGCCCACACCATTCCCAGTTCATTCTCTCTGCTTTGTGCGTGTGGGTAAAGTGTTCGGCTACTGCTACAGCGCCATGCCTGCCTACCCACTGCCACGCTCCACACCATGGTGGACTGTAATCCTCTGAAACTGCAAGCCGCTTTTTCTTCTATAAGTTGCCAGCCATAAAAAGTAACTAAAACATGGCCTTATTTAAAATTTACAGTATAAACAGCTCTTCCCCTGAAACAGCTAAACCACAAGATTTTCATTATTCATTCCAAACAGAATGACTTTGTTACCGGAACATAAATTCCCCTTAGGAACCCAGTCATATTTAGGAACTAAGGAAAGCTTTCAAAAACAGATTTTACAACAGATAAATAAACACAGCATGATATCTCCTTTCAAATAGTGAATATTCAAGTCTTCACATATATATTGAAATCAACATCTCATGTCCTTTTTTTGAAATTAACTCTTACAATGGAATGGACCCTTTTATGGGTGAGCGCTTTCTGTAACTGTAAACAATATGAACTGGAAAAGCATTCCTTGACATTGTCATACTGTCCTTTGACTGACTCGGTGATTAGTTCTCAATTTTAGAGCCTCTTTTGTGCTTCTCTGGTAAAGAAAAAAAATTGATGTTATTTTACGATGGAAACCAGGGCACTTTGGAGCATGCCTACTGTACAATATCGCAGCTTATTTTTGGCCAACCTAAGTTCTAAGACAACTTTTAAAGAAGAAAGAAAGTGGGGCTTGAGAGATGGCTCAGCAGTTGCTACTCTTGCAAGAGGACCGAGGTTCTGCTCCCGGCACCCACATGGCAGCTCATAACCATCTGTAACTCCAATTTCCAACACCTTCTTCTGTTCTCCACAGCAAGAGGCACGCATACAATGCACAAACATATACAGGCTAACAAATAGCTGTATACATAAAATTTAATTGAAAATTAAAAAGAAACAAAGAGCTTAAATAGTAAAAATTTAAAAAAAGAAGAGGGAGAAGAAATAACGGATGAAAAGCAAAGCAAAGGGGAAAAAGTGACAAGGGGATGGGGAATAACGGAGTTTCAGACTAAACTCATGACCATGCTCACCACACTCAGCCAGCATGGGCTTCCCAAACTGACTCTCGGCAACTACACACACACACACACACACACACACACACACACACACACACACACACACACGTTGCTTTTATCTGAAGGAACTCTGTAAACTCTTAAGGCCTTTTGAGATGATGGATCAAATATTAGTTCAATAATGTTGATTTAGAACAGGAGTTAGCAGACTTTCTAGACAATTGTTCTCAAAGCATAGGAAGTGGGATGACAATTTAAACTGGCACAGCCCTGCAATCAAAACACATTGTGTCTAGTCCTCTTACGTATGTGTTTGCCTATGTTATATGTGTGCTAATCACAGGTGTATTTGCAAAAAACAGAAAGTAGAACCAACTTCTTCTCTGGTGTCTTTATATTTGATTTTTTCTAAACATTTCCCCCTGAAGTTAATGCCCTCAGGTAAATCTTATCATGGTACTATATAAGTGAGATTTGTAAAAATAATAAATAAATAAAATATGTACACCCAACATGAATTTTAGAATTATCCAGTAATTTTATATCATTATTGGCTCGAAAGCTTGAAATCTGGCTCCCTTCCACATGGATTCACTTTGGCCAATGGAGGATCTCCTGTGGTGGACCCTTGATGTTCATTTTGTCTAAGCAAATATTTTTCTTTGTGTCATTGAACTTTCACAGTTACTTTCCTTTTTTCATGAGCACACAGACTCTAGTCTTTCCTTGGTAAGCCAGATACAGTCTTCCATTTTTATTTCCATAACATCAGTGATCAGCACCTTCTTATCTCTGGAATGTGATATTCATCAGTGATAACACACTAGTCAAGACAATTCAGGAAGAAATCAGACAGGGCCTCTGAAGGAGAAAATATGATGTTTCAATAGTATAACCAAGTGCACTACCACGAAGAATTAATTTAAGCTACTTTATTTGTAGCTTTATTTGTGTCTTGTAGGGACTAATGTCCTGCCAAGGTACCTGTCAAGGCACCTTCTGCTGCATCCTGGAGAGAGATCCCTGCTTGTCTCATTTCCATCAGTTCTCTGCTGTCTCTTGAGTACAAAGCCTGAAGCACTTTACACACAAGAATGACATCTGTCATTTACACCCACCTCAAAAGCAGGTGCTGCTATTCTGAGACTTGCAGATGAGGCCTATGAGGTTTAAAAACATAGAACAGAGTTCCCTTAGTCACTCAGCTGGGAAGAACAAGGATCTGAGCATATGTCTAATGGTGGAAATCAGAGGATAGAGGAAAAATCATGAATGCTCATGTTATAATGTTTTCCTGGTGTGCACAATGGAATCAAAGAAATGCATGCATATGTTCCCCTCCACAGGCACCTTCATATAGTAATTGAAATTTGATTACTAAAGAAAAAAACAAAAACATCTATTTCCAAACCAATAAACTGCAGAACATGTAAAATGATGAATTTTCCAAGACCTTCCTGAGAAACAATCTGATCTAAGGGTACATGTTATAGAAACAGGACAAAGTCTGAACGGGGATTGACCATTACATGCATGTATACTGTCTTAAAAACCTCAGAGGGGAACAATAGCAAACATTTAATGAGAAATGGTTAAATCGAGCCCACCGTGCTTACAAGGAGAATAGGCAGGTGGCAGAGAGTGTGCAGGTGGAGCCCCACAGGACTTCAAGAGCCTACTGCCAGGCTACAAGTTTGAAAACTGCAGGTAAATTCCCTGAAAGAAATCAGACACCTTTGCAACCCTCCATGGCATATCCTCAAAAGAGATTTCCCACAGAAAACAGGTAGAATACACTGAAGATTCACGTCAGGTTTTGCAGCTCTTTTTGAAAACCGGTATTATTTGGGGCACAGATTCTTCTCTTTCATAAGCAAACCATACTAACATAGTTCATTAAAGACACTTACTTTTCCTTTCATAGCAACCTGTCAGCAACACAGGGCATGGAATTTGCTGAGCAGAGTGGGAAGAAAGGAAGGGCTGAATACCATTCTGCAACTCCTTCATCTATGGTCCTCCCTCCCCCTCATTCCTGCTGCCTTCCACACCGGGCAGTACCACAGCCCTCAGTCAGATGGGTGGTATCGAGTGAATTACAAAATATAAATACAAATACGTGGAGTTGTTTATGCTGAAATAACAGGCATTTCCAAAGCCTTTGGAGAAAATCCTGGCGAGATAGCTCAGTGCTAAGAGCATCAGCTTTTGCAGAGGACAGGTGGGCTCCTAGTACCTGTGTCCTGCAGCTTACAACGGCCTGCAGCTCCAGCACCAGCCTCTTATGGCCTCCCCAGTCACCCTCCTACACACACACACACACACACACA